AAATCATTTTCTCTGCAAAATATTTTCTAGGCAAAACTTTTTCCTGTAAAACATTTTCTTTCCACCCATTTTTCACCCTTGCAATCAAACGCACCCTAAGTCAACTTGTGAATGGTTTTCATATCAGCAGCTTCACTCAGAGTCCCTTTCTCCACGTGATCCCACCACTTGAAAAGGAAGTTGTCAACAACTAGTCTGAACCATGGGGACGGCTTAATACCACCCTCACCAGCATCTGCTTTTCTCAACAGCTCTTCTTTATTCACGTACTTGATATCAGCTACCTCATCGGGATTCGGGTTGACATTAACATCCCGAACGATGAAGAGAAGGTAATCAACTAAAGAAAAATAAGGTGGGTCAGACAATACCACGTAAATAAGCACAAGTAGAGACAACGAGAAAACAATTAGTGTGCGTTTGATTGTGAGCATGAAATTTGTATAGAAAGAAAATAAAATCCTAGAACTTATTTGTATGGAAATGATTAATTAAATGTGTTTGATTGATTTAGTTTTCAACCTAGAAAATATTATACTTGTTCATATTTTATTGGTGGGCAGATGAGATAGAGGGACTCATGAGAGAGAGAGAGAGAGAGAGTAAATTACCTGAAAAATAAAAACTACATCTCCCTAAAGAAAATATGGTCACTTGACCAAAAATAGAAAAATACTTTTCATGAAAAAAATTGTCAATCAAACAACACAAATGTAGAAAATTTAGTGGAAAAAGCACATTTTCCATAAAAAATATTAGCAATCAAATGCATCCTAAGGGAATGCTTGGTATGTCGACACTATAATAAACAAGATTTTAGTCTCTTTTTTTTCCTTTAATAATAATATCTACTACCATCTAATTCATCTTACAAAACATGCAGTGTTTGTTTATAAGCTATGAAGATCAATAACTAACGAAATAATGTTATCTAGCACCATTGGTGCTAAAACACCGGTCTAGGTAACGTTAAGTGATAGGCTCGATGAAATGTAGAATTAAGTGATTCATTTAATTATATCTCTCATTTAATGCCACATTAGTGTCATCTAAACTAGTGTGTTAACACCAATGATGCTAAATAGCATTACACATAATTAAAGCGTCCGTGACAACAAAAGGTTATTATCACATAGAGTTTCAATATAAATCGAAGTATGTATTATTACGTTCATGCTCTCCCCACTTTCCATCAGACGGCGCTTTGTACAG